TATATGTAGGGACCGAACTCTTCAGGTTTTCATCTTCTGTGAAACTGAGGTAGGTGAAGGGGAGTTAGAGGAGGAAGAGGAGGAGAAACTGCATCTAGATCTGACAGAGGTTTCCTTGAACTCTATGTTAGGATTCACTATGAATCATACTATGAAGGTCATGAGGAAGATACAGGACAAGGAGTGGTGGTTCTAATTGATAGTAGGGTTGCCCACAATTTCCTTTCCACTCAAGTCGTTGACTAACTTGAGTGAAATTGGAGGAGCCCAGTTGTTATGGGGTGATGATGGGCACTGGGAAGGTGGAGAAAGGCCAGAGGATCTGTAGAGGAGTGGTGTTGACCATCCAAGACATTCAATTGAGGGAGGACTTTCTCTCACTGGAGTTAGGGAGTACATATATCATCCTAGGGATAAAGTGGCTACAAACCTTGAGGGACACCAAGGTCAATTGGGGAGCCCTCACGATGGAACTGATAGTGGATGGAAAGAATGTGATGATCAGGAGAGATGTAGGGTTATCCAGATCTATGGTGTCTCTCAAAACTATGGTAAGGAATATCAAAGAGGTGGGGGAAGGCTATTTGGTGGAGTTGCACAGGTTGGAGGGAGTTAAATTGGAGGAGGGAGGGGAGACACCTCTCCATACAGCCATTGATACAACAATTTCAGGAGCTGTTTCAACCGCCTCAAGAATTGCCTCCACCGAGGGAGTAGGAGCACGCTATCACTCTGAGGGAGGGTTTGTCACCCATCAACGTTAGGCCCTACCGATTTCCTCAATTTCAAAAGAATGAAATTGAGAAACTGATCAGAGAGATGATGGAGGCAGGTAATATCAAACCCAGTATCGGTCCTTTTTCCAGTCATGTATTATAAGTTTCTTTACCAGTGATTAATGAACTGCTGGATGAATTGAGTGGGGAGATGATATTCACCAAGATAGATATGGAATCAGGATATCATCATATCATAATGAAGAAGAAACAACAACAACAACATCAAGCCTTTATCCCACTAGAAAGATGTGCCAAAAGTGACTTTCAAAACTCGCAAGGGGCTTTATGAGTTCCTAGTAATGCCCTTTGGCCTCACTAACGTTCCAGCCACATTCCAGTCACTTATGAATAAGGTCTTCAAACCTTATCTTCGGCGGTTCCTAATTTACAGCAGGATAGAGGAGGAGCACTAGGAGCATTTGAGGAGGGTGCTAGAGTTGTTACAGGAGCATCAGCTGAGGGCCAACCTAAAGAAGTGCTGCTTTGCCCAGACGAGTGTGGAGTATTTGAGTCATATTATGTCCAAAGAGGGGGTGGCAGTTGATTAGTCAAAAATTGAGGCTATGTTGAGATGAGCATTACCAAAGAACCTAAAGGAGCTGAGAGGTTTTCTTAGGGCTGACGGAGTACTACAAGAGATTCGTAAAAGGGAACAACACTATATCATGGCCACTAACAGAACAGCTGAAGAATGATGGCTTCCTACGGGGATAAGAGGCCACAACAACCTTTGAGAGTTGAAGAGAGCGATGACTAAGGTGCTAGTCTTAGCCTTACCAGACTTCACTCAGGACTTTGTAGTGGAGACAGATGCTTCAGGGTATGGATTGGGAGCAATACTCATGCAGAGTCGCCGGTCGATTGCCTAATTCAGCTAGGTTTTGACAGCTAGAGCCAGGCTGAAATTAATATATAAGCAGGAGTTGATGACCATCGTCTTAGTCATACAAAAGTGGCAGTCTTACCTGCTAGGTAAACACTTCATTGTTAGGACAGACCAGTGGAGCTTGAAATACTTATTGGGCAGCGGATGGTGATAGAGGAACATCAGAGATGGTTGTCTAAATTATTGGGGTATTATTTTGAAATCCAATACAGGCCAGGAGTGGAGAACAAAGCAGCAGATGCCTTGTCCAGGTGCATGGGAGAGTTGTAGGCGATAACAGTATCGATTCCATTGATGTTAGATTGGGAGGCCATCAAGGAGGAGAGTGTCAGGGATGATGAGTTTGGGAAGATCAGGGCCGATTTACTGAGGGAAGGAAGTAGCCACCCGGATATTCATTGGAGGGGGATCAACTGCTGTATCAAGGGAGGTTTGTGATACTCCAAACCTCAGTTCACATTTCATTCTTACTCCAGGAGTTCCATGGGAGCGCTGTGGGGGGTCATTCAGGGGTGCAGAAGACATATAGGAGGCTAGCCTCAAAGCTGCATTGGAAGGGGATGCATAAAAATGTGGAGGAGATGGTGGCCAGATATGAGATATGTCAGATAAACAAGTACTTGGCTATGTCGCCAGGAGGACTACTACAATTATTGGTTTTATCAGGGCAGGTATGGGAAGAGGTATCCATGGACTTCATAGATGGGTTGCCCCGTTCAGAAGGATTCACAGTGATTCTGGTGGTAGTGGACAGATTGATCAACTGTGCTCACTTCATTCCTTTAGGACATCCATGCACCATAGTGACAGTGGCATTAGCTTCATCAAAGAGTTGGTCAGATTACATAGGGTACCAGAGGCGATAATATCCAACAGAGATAAGGTGTACCTCAGCCATTTCTGGAAAGAGTTGTTCAGATTATAGGGGACAGTTCTGAAGAGAAACACTGCCTACCACCCACAGGCGGATGGCCAAAAAGAGGTGGCTAACATAAGCTTGGAGACTTACCTCCGATGTTTTGTGTCGGAGACGCCCAAGTTATGGGCCAAATGGTTGTCTTGGGTGGAGTATTGGTACAACACCTCCTATCATTCGGCTCAGATGACACCCTTCAAGGTTTAGTATGGAAGGGACCCACCTCACTTAGTGCACTTTGGACAGATCAGAACTCCAGTTTCATCAGTGGAGTACTTAGAGGAGAGGGACAGAGTGTTTGAAGAATTAAAAAGACATATGCTGAGAACTTAACAAATCATGAAGAAAAAAGCTGACGGGCATAGAAGGGACATCCAATTTGAGTTTGGGGAAAGGGTATTTTTGAAGCTCAGACCGTATAGACAAAAATCAGTCGCCAACAGGAGAAATGAGAAGCTCACCCCAAGATACTTTATGCCATATGAGGTCTTGGAGAAGATTGGAGCAGTTGCATATCGACTGAAGTTGCCATCAACGACGACTATACATCCTATTTTTCATGTATCCCAGCTAAGAAGGGAAATTGGAGATTATGCAGCCAACTCAGAGTTACCTGCGACACTCACGGAGGATTTAGAGGTGATTTTGGAACTCTTAGAGCTTATGGGGGTTCGCCAAAGGGAAGATAGAGCTAAAAAAGTGCTTATCAAGTGGAAAAGCCTTTCGGATTACGATGCCACATGGGAACCTTATGAGAGGGTGAAACATCAGTTTCTTAGTTTTCACTTTGAGGACAAGGTGGTTCTTTGGGAGGGGAGTATTGTTAAGGTTCTCCCTGAACCGACCAAACCGACCCTGGTGGGACCGGTTCAATTCTATAGGAGTCGTCCCAAACCATGTCCTTGAACAATTCCGCCCAAGCATGTGGAGATTATTTTGAATTAGGTTTATTTTAGGAAGCTTTTTATTAGGAAGATATGTATTTAAAGAGGATGAGAGGTTAGGGTTAGGGCATGCATCATTATTGTTTTCTCTTGGAGTTCTCTTGGTGGCTTTGGGCCTGTAGATTCATCGTCTAGAGATTGGGAGAGAATGATCCTCCTCTCGAATTGAGGATCAATTATATCTTTGCTTGTTCTTGCTTTTGGTTTGATTCCTATAATACAATCTATTGTTTTTGGATTGTTTTCATTAGAGATCTTGAAGTTTTCTCGTTGTTTTCATCAATTTTTGTTAGGGTTGCTTGCGAACTCAAGTATTACCCATTAGCTTACTTGCGAACTCAAGTATTTCCTATCAAATTGGTGTCAGAGCAATTCCCTGACTGTTATGGGCTGATTTTTCTAAAAATTCAGTGGCAAATTTCTGATCGGATGGAGGGATCTTGCTGAATTTTGGATCTAATATCCCGAATTTTGGATCTAATATCCCGAATTTCTAATATTTTCTAACCAAGTTTCTTTAGGTCTACCTCTACCTTTCTTAATATAAGTCAAATCTAATACCTCTACTTTCCTAATCGGGTCATCGGAAGACCGTTGTTTTATGTGACCAAACCATTTAAGGCGACTCTCTCTAATCTTATCTTCCACTGGAGCTACTCCAACCTTTTCATGTTTATGCTCATTTTGTATCCTGTTTGTAAGGATAAAATCCACTCATCCCCCTAAGCATCCTCATCTCCGCAATGCTTAACTTAGTATTATGCTTCTCTTTTAATGGCCAACATTCTGCACCATAAAGCATTGCATGTCTCACCACCATCTTAAAAGAAGTAAATTGCAATTTTATATATCAATTTAATTTTAAGTTGGAATTTATATTTTTAGAAATCAAATCATATGAGGATTAGGTTATTTTCATTTTGACATCTGATGTTTTTTAATTATTCAATATTTAATTTTTAGTATCAATAAAAAGCATTAATATTATGAAAATAAGACCATATGAATATACTAACTACAACAACAATAACCACAACAAGCCTTTATCCCACTATATGGGGTCGGCTACATGAATCCTTTTTCTCCATTGTCCTGGTAAGAGTCAAATTCTCATCTAAACCTAATAAAGTAAGGTCATTTCTAATATTTTCTAATCAAGTCTTTTTAGGTCTACTTAAGAAGTAAATTATAAAAATTCTCAAAATATGTAAATCAAACTTAAGTAGTAAATATTAAATTCACGACCCGTAGGAAGTAAATGTGGTTCAAAATGTGATATTCATCGTATTATTCCACATGTTTTTTTTTTTTTTTTTTTTTTCGCATTTCAAATTTTTTTTTTTTCTGCGCATTTCAAATCTATTACTTGCTATAAAAAAAAAAAAAATCTATTACTTGCTATCATTGTCGAAATGGTTATGCCCATAGAAGAACATGCTCTACTTATTTTACTTCAAATCACTCCACTTTTGTAGGATGCATCAGTGCAACCTTCTCTAATTATTGTTTATTTCGGCGGCAACGATTCAATTGGACCTTACCCATCTGGCCTAGGCCCTCATGTACCGCTGCCTGAATATAAGGAGAACTTGAGAAAGATTGCAGATCATCTTAAGGTATAAAATATTTATTACAACTTGTCTGAACATGTTTAACTTTGCTAAATTTTGACATTTAATTTGTTCACTTCACCTTAGAATCTGTCAGAAAACACTCGTGTTATTTTCCTTAGTTGTCCACCTCTCAACGAGGAAAAACTTCTTCAGTCAACAAGGTGCTTTTTCGCTGAAGCTTGTTTATTAATAATAGTCTTTATCCCTTCCTTTTAGCTCTGATATATTTTCATGCCAGCCCTGCATTAAGCGAGATAGTTCGGACAAATGCAACCTGCCGGTTATATTCTGAAGCTTGTATACAAGTTTGCGAGGAGATGAACTTGAAGGTTATTGACCTTTGGACTGCATTTCAACAAAGGGATGATTGGATTGATACTTGTTTTACGTGAGCCTTATCAAAACTCTACTATTCTCTGCATTTTCTTGTTAATATTTGCTTGTGAATCTAAGGTATTAATACACAACTCACCTTGGCCTGTTGTTTGAGATCTCAGGCTTTCAACTAAGAGGTCTTGATTTCGAGTCTTTGTGTATACGTTATGTGTGTGAGTTTGTCTTAAATGGCCTAAATGTCCCCCAAAAAAAATCTAAGATATTAATAGGATGTCTAGACTAATTAGCTTGAGATGACCTTGTATTCTATAAATACCTCATTTAGAGAGGATGATGAGATAAAATGTATGAACGATTTATTATTTCTCTTTTTTTACTTCGGGAGTGAGTGAGCAGTTTGAAATGATCTAATTAGGATCTAGTTTTTAACAAAAGTGTCAATGTCAAGAACTTGATCCTAATTAAAGTATTTCAGGCTGCTCAATTACACTGAAAGAAAGAATAAAAGAGAGAAATATTAAAGGAGAAATTCATTCAGTCATTCATTTTTTTCTTATTATCCTTCTCTTGAGTGAGATTTATATAGAATTGAAGATCATCTCAAACTAATTAATCTAACTAATAAACCAACTATTAACTACTAAATATCTTCTTAGGCTTCGTTTGGGACGGCTTTCTTACTGTTTAAAGCGGCTTTCTAGTTCAAATATTAAAATTTTCGTACAAGAAAGCTGTTTTAAGAAGCAATAAGAAAGCCGTCCCAAAATGAAGCCTTAATATCCTACTTAGATTCACAAAATATTTCTACCATAAAGTCCTTTCCTTTTTTTTTTAGTTTTTGCGGCGTCTTATTATCAAAATAATGATATTGAAACATGGTTGGTTTCAGTGATGGCCTTCATTTTTCATCTGAAGGGAGTAAGATCGTTGTGGAGCAAATACTAAAGGTTCTCAAAGAAGCAGATTGGAATCCATCCCTTCATTGGAAGTTTATGCCAACTGAGTTTGCAGAGAATTCATCTTATGATCTTGTTGCTGCTGATGGAATCTCCACTCTTAATCCATCAGAGTGGACTTTTCACAGAGAGATTCAGTGGGATTAGACTTTGTTCTGCTCTACTTTTGTCTTTGAATGTGGCATTGCTTGCTTGTAGCTGTTTCCTCCCTGTTCTGAAAAGTGCTTCATATGGTCTTATGGAAATTTAGCTGTAGTTTATCAACGTAAAATTTAAACTCATCTATATGAAAGGTTGTTCAATATGATCAGATTGGTGGGCACAAACATCTTATATGCTTCATATTGTGTATTTTGAAATATCATTTGCTGCTTGTTCTGATATTTTGTTGGAAATATATATATATATATATAATGTGATTTTTATTCTTCTTGTATAAATTAAAAGAGTAGAAATTATATTGCACAGATAGAGATAAGTGCTTATCAAATTGAACTAAGGTTTCGTTTGGGACGGCTTTCTTACTGCTTCTTAAAGAAGCTTTTTAGTATAAAAATTATTTTTTTTATACTAGAAAGCTGCTTTAAGAAATAGTAAGAAAGACATCTCGAACGAAGCCTAATTATTCATATGCTTTTGTAGCTATTATGATTGTTTGGTTTTAAATAGAGTAGATGAATGAAATTTGAACAATAGGCTTATAGCCTTTGCTTTGAATTTTTTTTTTTTTTTTTCATTTTGTTCCATTCAATTTATTTATCATGCATCTTTCTAATGATTTTGTCATCTAGCATGGCCTTTTTTCTTCCTTTCAAAGTGGTATATGCCAATATAAAGAAGAAATATTCCTAAAAAGCCAACAGGGGGTATGTGAGTCAAGCTGACTTGTGAGCTAATTTCGCTTGATAAATAACTTCTGAGCTGAGCTCGATGAGCTAATTAGTCAAGCTTGAGTTAGTTTAGAGTCAGACTTATTAGCTCATGAGCCATCTCTTTTAAAAAAATATTAGTATTCAAGAGTTTAAATATAAAATTGTTAAATATTTTAAAGCTATATAATACTTCTTTATATTAAGTAATTTTTTATCTTTTTTTTTATAATTTATTATAGTAATTATTTGAAACAAAATTATTTTCTCTTTTATAATAAATGAGGTGGCTCCTAAGTAGATTGAAGCTCACATAATTAAATTCAAATTCGAACTTAAACTTGATTAATTAATCAAGTTCTAGCACAAGTCGTATGTGGATCGAATTTGACTAGACTCATTTACGCTCTTAAAAGCCATTGAACCTTGTAATAAATTTAATTTTGTATTAGAAAAAAACTATTCAAGATGTTGACTCCATTAGGCTTTGGTGTTTTCCCCAGTAATTTACTAAGTATTATCTTAATAATAAATATAAAGAAAATTAGATTGCAAAAAAAACTTATTAGGAAAGTTTGGTTTGTTTGATTTTAGGGACTTAAGTATTCAAGCAAGAAGATTCAATCAATATCATCTATGTTTATGTCTTATTACATAATTATGATGTCATTAGTTCTTTTTTTATATGATTGAGTTAGGTATTTATCAAAATCTTAATATCGAATTGGGGTGTCAAAATAGGTCGACGTGTTGTCTTGAGTCCAACCCAAAATTGAACTGACCTGAATCTGGTCCATTTAATAAATGGGTTAAAAAAACAACCCAAATCACTAACAGCCTGAATGATCCGAACATGATCTGTTACCCCGTTTTGATTATTTTTTTAATAATTTGTTAACTATAAATTTAACGTATTTAATAAGAAATAAGAACATTATACCTACAAGTAAAAAAAAATATTAAATATGCCATTTTAGGTCAAACACGAGTTTATGGGTTAACCCAACTCATTTAATAAACTGGTCAGAATAATTCAACCTTAATCTGACTTGTTTATTATAATTGGATCAATATGAATTTGAATTTTTAGGCCTGGTTAGAATTGGGTTGGAATTTTTTTACAAATTAGATTTTGAAAATATATTCTATATTATAAAAATCATTTCATAGGTTGTTAGTTTAGTAAATAAAAAAACGTTTGTAGTAGATAACTAAATATAAATTATAATGATATATAAATAGAATATTTTTAAATATTATCTAAAATTTATTTTTTAGTTTTTCCGTTTCTCTGTCCAGTTTCTGTCCCTAGCTTTTCTATGGCGTATTCCTTTCTCGGGCATCCACTGGTTACCAGTTCTCCCCAACCCGCCACCCTTCGCACTCAATCTCCACCTCTTCTCTCCGCCTCTCTACAACCATTCATTCATTTATAAAACAAGCTATCTTGGTGTTCGTGACCCTCGCACCTTCTCTCCCTTATCTCCCACTCATCACTTCCAATCCCCTCTTTCTCCTATTCTAACCCTAGATTTGCTACGGATCCCATAGAGTTAGCAATCTGAACGCGATGGAGGACAATGGGGTCGTCACGGTTTACGGGAATGGCGCTGCCCTAACAGAGCCTCCGAAGAAGGCGACGGCGTTCTCAGTGAAAGTAGGACTCGCGCAGATGCTGCGCGGCGGGGTCATCATGGACGTGGTGAACGCCGAGCAGGCACGGATTGCGGAGGAGGCCGGTGCCTGCGCGGTGATGGCTCTGGAACGCGTCCCCGCTGATATTCGTGCGCAGGGTGGCGTCGCCCGGATGAGCGATCCCGGTCTTATCAAGGAGATCAAGCAGGCGGTGACTATACCGGTCATGGCCAAAGCCCGAATAGGCCACTTCGTCGAAGCCCAGATCCTCGAGGCCATCGGTGTCGACTATGTGGACGAAAGCGAGGTCCTCACCCCTGCCGATGATCACCACCATATCAACAAGCATAACTTTCGCGTTCCCTTCGTGTGCGGCTGCCGGGACCTGGGCGAGGCCCTCCGTCGTATCCGGGAGGGCGCTGCCATGATCCGCACCAAGGGAGAGGCTGGCACCGGCAATGTTGTTGAAGCCGTTCGCCATGTCCGTTCTGTTATGGGAGATATCCGAGCCCTCCGGAACATGGACGACGACGAGGTTTTCTCCCTCGCTAAGCGAATTTCTGCCCCATACGACCTCGTTATGCAGACAAAACAGCTCGGTCGCCTCCCTGTCGTTCAATTTGCTGCCGGTGGCGTAGCCACCCCAGCTGACGCCGCTCTCATGATGCAGCTTGGATGCGATGGTGTCTTCGTTGGTTCCGGCATCTTCAAGAGTGGCGACCCTGCGCGCAGGGCCAAGGCTATTGTGCAGGCTGTCACCAACTACACTGACCCGGAGATCTTGGCAGATGTTAGTAGCGGTCTTGGAGAGGCCATGGTCGGGATTAACCTCAACGACGCCAAAGTCGAAAGGTTTGCTGCCCGCTCCGAATAGATAGCAATTACATCATTATCCTTGATTGAAGCACCGTGGATGAGCCCCTGTTTGTTTGCTAAAAAATGGTTACTTTCTTAGATTTTTCTTCTTATCTCTGATATTGCTGAAATTGTGTTGTATGGTTTCCTTCTGTTGTGGTCCTATATGTCAGAAGTTCTATACATTTTCGATAATCTCATATACTCTTATACTCTTTTTTAGGCTTTTCGGTTTCACCTTATGATTTGGTGCATGTATATGTTGCCATATGCAGCTCTCTGGTACCCATTTTCACCAGTTCTTTACTGAATGAAACTCATAAATTTTCCATCTATTTGAGGATATCATGATGACTTGTTTGTTTGTCTCATACCTTTAACCATTTTTGTCCATTTCCTTTGTTGGTGAAATGTTTTTTATAGTAGTAATAGTGAGAGCCAAAGCACAGTTGATTTAGTGAGAGGGGATGACATAAAAAGATGCAGAGCTACAATTTAAATACAATTGATCTGATAACTTTAAATAGGTTCAAAAGATGAGACCTCAAATATCAAAAAGGTATTTAAGGTCTTTAATCCGAAAACCAAAGAACCAGTGAGATGGATTCGCATAAATGCTATATTTGTTCAGCTTTTCAACCATCTGCAACCGCTCAACCTTTCCCTTAGGGAGTTGAGTTGTGGTGTGAAGGGGGTGTCTTTAGGCCCTTAATTAAAGGCCTAGGGTTATGTGAGGAGGTGAAGAAGTGTTAGGGAGTTTGGTGGAAGAATATTAAGGGTGTTAAGGATTTGAATGAGGATGTTTATCCATAATAGGATTTTGAAAGCTACCGAGCAATTCATTACAGTCCTAAGCAACCAAGCATGAAGTCACAAAGAAGATGGGTTTTTTTTCTTTATTCAATAAAACTAACATATTGTATTGGCTTTCATCTATTTTAAGCATTAATATACAAAAAGAAATAAAATCCTCATGGAGGGGAAGGTAGCTTGGTTGCTTCTCCATGGAGTGGGAGTGATTCTTGAAATATGGAGGTTGCATCATTTTTTTCATGGGAGTTTTGGAGGGTTGATAGTAGGAGGCTAAAATCTCTTGATACTTCATTTGAATGTTCCTAATTGAGTTCTGTTCTCCTTTGGTTGGATTCCCATAAATAGGATCATGGTTACAATATTTAAAGGAGCTGGTGGACTTGGCCTTCATTCTTGGTTTCCTTTTGTATCCATGATTTAATTTGCCTTACTTTTGCTCATGTGGCCGTCCAAATGACACATTAGAAGCTCTTCATATCAAACTTAATATTTATTGGGAAATGCATACAAAGAAAATTATAGGATATTGGGAAAAAATATAAATAAATGGATGCAAAGACTATATACATAACATTGCAATGTTAACACAAACATTGAGTTAACTTTATTGTCATAGGCTTACAATTAGGATTACAGTATATTACATCAGCTCTTATATTCGGAAAGAATTTTTGATGCAGGACTGATATGCTTATAGATGAATGCGACAAGAATTTGCACGATTTTTATAAGAACAAATAACAATTAAAACTATTAGCTGCTAAACGATAATAGAAAACATAAGAGGGGTAGCTACGCTTAGGCCAAATCACATGCTAAGCATTTGAACTAACAAAACAATTCAAAATTTCAACAACATACGAATTTATTAGTTATTCAACAAAAATCTCTAATCTAACATTGAGATAAGCAACATAGAAAGTAAACTCAAATCCTACGTTTATTAAGCGGAGGCAAAGGGCGAAGCACGATTCCTTGTGAATTGATCACCACCTATAAGATTAGCGGATTAGGAAAATAAGTGAAAATGGGAAGAAGTTCATCCTTGTGGTTGTCCAGAAATAATTTGACACTAGACGTTGGCAAGTTGTTCGTCGATGGCTTCTGAAAGCGTGAAGATGATGCGGTCCACGTACTCTTCAATAGGCAGCGGGCAAGAGAGAGGGGAAGGGATTTATTTTAATTCCAATGGGAGAGACTCTCTCTTGGAAATAAATTAAATAGGTGGGGGCATGGGGATTGCGGTCAAGAGAGGTGGAGGGGAAATATGAATTATTTCCAAGAGAGCTTAGTTGGATTTTGGAAATAAATCCCAAAGGGTTTCAATGGGGGGCCGACGGCAATAAGGAGAGGGGTGGGGCTTAAGGCAAGTGTTCATTGCTTGCTTAATTGAGAATCTTAAATTAGTGAAGAGAAATTAAATCCCATTTAATTAAAGATTGATTTGGATGAGATTTGAAGGCTTTCCTAAAATAGATTTTGTATTTTAGGAAAGATTTTGAATTTCAAATCACTTGGATTTGAATTCAAAATTAATCCCAATTATATTCAATCTATATTAGGAATAAGGAAAAAGGGAGGGAAAGGCCTAGGGTGGGCCGACCGGCGGTTGAGTGTGGAGGGAGGAGGCCGACGGGTGAGGAGGTGGTGGGATGGTTCGGTTGGGGGGATGGGGGTCTTATTTGGCCGGTGGTGGGTTGGGAAGTTGACGGCTTGGAGGTGGTCGGTGGGGCTTGGTGGTTGTCTTTGGCCGACGGGTACAAGAGGGAGAAGAAGGGGAAAATATGTTAGAGAACCAAGAACTCACCCGAGGGTGATTGTTGGGTGATGCGTCTAACCTCTCCTAGCTCTTCTCCAAGACTCATAAACTCACCAAGAGACACAAAAGTTGAAATTTCAGTAATAACCATTCATTAACCATGAAAAGAGAATATAAGGGCTATATATAGCCTCATACAAAGGACTTCAAAAGTAAAAGACGATAATGCCCTTTGGGCTTACACATGACCTCCCTTAAGTAAGGGTTAAAAGCTGAAAAGAATAAAAGCAAATACAAATATAAAATAATAAAAGATAAATACATGGTGCGACTTAAAAATACATCGACTCGATCGTGGCTGTAGATCGACGGCCACGTCTTTGATAGACTTTCCTAGCTCCGATGTCCCCATCAACTTTACTTTATAGAATTGATGTAGTATGTACACTAGTAACAAACTTGAAACCTAATCTCCATGGGTGTGCAATAGGTGGAGTGTTTGTTAAACATTTGCATAAATGGATCTATGATTTCTACCATTGGGTTACTCTTGCAATGTTTATTTCTCAAAATTCAATTAATTAATATCAAATTAAACATAGTAAAGAGTGTTTTAGAAAATATCTTAAAATCAAAACTTTGATGATAATCATAAGGTTAAAATGTTTCTATGCAACATGTTCAATGTAATATAGTAGGGATCTTTGATGTAGATTGAAATCATGGAGAGCTTTGATACATAATTGCCATATTTTTATCACTATTCGTATCAACTAAATGTTTTACAATTGAATGAAGGCCATGATGGGGATGTGTTAACAATAATGTTGCTACATGAATAAAATGATGATGGGGAGATCAACCACTTGATGTTGTTTCATAAGCATTATATTTAAGATATCATACAAATCAAAGTGGTTTGTATGATTCATGAGTTAGATATTAGCAATCTAAGAAAATAGTCACTAAAAACACATGATGTGATCTTTGGTATACAACATATATGTGTACCTCCAAAGTAATGTATGCATTATCCTTTTTAGGAAGGATATAAACACTAAAAGGAATATTAGTTAGTGTGGCTAAAAGTGTGTATGTGTCTTTCTCCTTAGGGAGGACTAGCTCAATAGTTCAAACATTAGATGGTGGGTTAGGCAAGGTGCGCATATCCTTCTCTTAGAGGATATGATGAAGAATCATGATATTCGTTGGTAAATCTCGAAGAAATGATTCAGGTGGTGTCTTATTAAAGTCTATTGGTGTGATTAAGCCATCAATTCTATCAAAGAGTGGGTCAATGATTACCATGTGCAGTGATGTTAGCTTCTTCTAATGTGATGTTAGCTTCTTCTCAATCTCAGCTAAAATAGAACTTGTGCCTTATAATTGTTTTTTATGTGTACCTTCTGGTGATTGTTAAAGCATACAATATATTTGATGTTCTTAGGGGTTACAACTATGGGGCTCCTAGGAGTGACACTAGTGGATACTGTAGATATTATAGACACTAGTCTATTTGTAGACATATGAATATATGCAGTAGGTGTAGGACATTTAGGAGATATATATGTTTCTCCACAAGTAATGCATAATGAAATGCATGTTTAAATGTTTGGGATGAAAAAAGAAACCTCATTTCTAATCTCTTTCCTATGTCATTTAGCGAAGTTATTGGCTAGCAACCCCAATCATTTTAGGTGCAGTGGTTCTAACTACAAGGTTTCATAGTTGTTCAATTAATATGTCATGTATAAGCTCACTTTTCTTAAGGCCATAAGTTGGATATGGAGTTCCTTGTCATGATACTTTGTACAATATTTTGTCATAAAATCTAGTTTATATCTAGCCATGTAAGGGTAATCTCACTAATCTTTCTTCATTTACTAACACTTTGCTCTAATAGAACTTAGTATGACATATGAGCATCATTTTAACAAAGGCTACTTTATGATGGTCATTAAAATCATGGCATTCAAAGAATTCATCTAATTGGGCATGCTAATCAAGGAATCAATAAGAATCATAAATCTCCTTAAATGTAGGTAACTCTAACTTAACCTTTTTGTTATGATCAATGTGGTCATCACTCCTTCATTTCTATGAACTAGTACCCTCTAAAAGATTAACCATCTCTATAATTAGGATATGGGCCATATTCAAAATTAGGGTTCATGATAGAAATAGGTTGTGCAAGATTATGATGATGGACTTGTTCCTTAAGTGATATTTGTTGCAGTTGAGTCACTATAAGTTGCGTTTGATTTGATTGGAGATTTGTTTTATTTGAGTCTTTAGGTCTTCTAGGAATTTTGTTTCCTAAGTTCAAGCTTATGTAATGTTGTGGATAAATCTTTTATGGATTTATTTAGCTCTTTTAGTTGATTCGGGAGTAAATCTTTCAAACATTATATTAATTCTTCAAATCATAAATTTATTATCATCAAAATAAGTTCATTCCCTCAATGAGCTCATTTGCTCAACATTTTCTCTTTTTGATATTTGAATTAAAAAAAAAATTAAGGTACAAAGTGGCATCTACTTTTCAATTAACAGTTTGAATTCTTAAAATATGGTGACTTTTTTTTAAATCATTGCATAATTTATGAAATAAACTCAATTATCCAACCTTACCTCCCCTTTTTGGCAACATAAAAATATATGAAAATTAGACCCAAAAAATTGCCAAAGGTGTGTTATTGGGGAATAACATACATCAAGATCACCTATATAAATATTTGATGAAAATATATGTAAATTGGCTTT